TTTGTCTCTGGAAATTGATTAATAACTTTGAAAAGACATATTGATCTAATAAAACTATAGATGTGCATAAGAAATGCTAGTTTTGCTTAGAAAATTTGGATAACCGGTTTTTAACCCCAAGAGGGTTTGTATAAGATACTAGAAGTTTGATAAAGAATCATTTTAAGTACAGATATTATCCGGGAAAGCAATTAACCCTTAGATCTTCAAATTATATTATCCTTGTTAAGAGTTTAACACCGAAATTATCTGGTTATGAAATTACGAAAATGCCCTTGAGAGGTAAAAATAGTCTAAGTTGACTCTGAATGAGAAAGTAACCGGAGAATTTGTACTTAAATCGATAAATTACTGATTTAATTATTGAGATCCTACTTTTGTATGGAAAATTCCTGATAATTCGTTAGTAACATCTGAAAAGACTTTTAACCTGGAAATCTCCGAGTTATGAGTAAATACCTGAAGAATAATTTATCGAGAGTGCTCTTCTGTCAGAATTGTTCGAATGAAATGGAATGGATGATAAGTCTGAATTAAATAATAAGATCGGACGAAAATGATTGAAATACCTTAGATCTGTAAGATGACCAAAATACCCCTAGAATGGAAATGACCCAAGAATATTACCAAACTCAGGAATGATTGGATACCATCAAGCTATGAAATGAATGGAATAAAACTGAGCACTAAAATGACAAAAATACCCTTATGTCCTAGACTAAGTAAATGTCTTGGATTAATTGAGAAATTCAAATAAACATAGATGTTGTACTGCTCTTAAAAGTTATGGAACACAACTTAAGCCGGTCAACCAATGTTAGTGCTATATCAGTACTTGAATGGCATAGGTACCACTTGAATTCTTGTTCGTCTCCTCAAGTTTGGATTGATGATAATTATGGAAGTACTCAGCTCAGCTCAACGCTAGAGCGCATTCGATATTAAGAAGTGGATATTCGTGAGATAAATCAACCACGAATACCAAAAATGATTTTAGTATATGACCAAAGTGAACTAAACGGAAGTACAACATGTATCCGAAACGCAGAAGCGTCTGAATTACTGGGGAAGAATCTGAAGTAAATGAGATAGATTTGACTACTAAATGAACCAAGTAACCTTAATGACTGAGAATTTAGTAAGTGATTGGATGAGTCTGAGAAATCCAATGATCTTGCATGATGTATGATTCCTATGGGTTATGAACTAAGAATTAAATACGTTGACAATTCGTGATATTGTTGCCATTTGGATAGAAATAAAGATTATTTGGATCCTCTATCGCTTCCTTAAGATATATTCAACGATGATTCTGAAGATGATCTATAGACAAGAATTGTTGGTATTAAAGAGTGAATACCCTGGAAGGGCAATAAATTGACCAGTTGATAAGTTTTGGGAGTTGTTCGATAGCCCGATCGATTGATATGGATGGTAAGTGCCCTGAATCTTCATTTCTCCTTTATCAGTTCAAATTACTCCGGTCATACCTGAACACTTTCCTGATGCATATGAATCATAGAAGGATTCTGAAGTATCAACCTTAAATGTCTAACTAGATCGATTAGTAATTGATTCTCTTCAATAGAACCTCGTTCCTGGAATCTGATCAAATTGCACAAGTTTCATGTTATCCATACTAATAACTATAAAATGCTGCTGAAAAATACTTGGATCCTCTAGTGTGTTCCATATGTACTACATGACGGTTTTATATGTTTTAAAATGAGTTTTAACGAAAGTATTGATTTACTGGTTTATGAACCATGACAACATGGTATATGATCCCCCTTTATGGTTTTCATCAAAAAATATGAACTTTTCCTGTTTTATGGAATCATGGAAACTATTGGTTTATGAACCATGGTTTTATGTTTCACTAGTTATACTCGAACTGTTTTATTGGGATATTATATGGGTAGAATAGAAGTACAGCTCTGATCAAGCTGGAAATTTCTTACGGACTTAAGGTGATCCTTGGGTAGGCTTTCGGGCCCCAAGGCACTCCTTTGGGTTAATCATTTGACTACTTATGGTGTACAGGTGGAAATTTGTTATATGATTATTTCATTATTACGGTTATGACATATTACTGGATCACGATCCATGTATTACAATTTACGGCTAAACTGATTTCTATTGGATTTTTATATGGATATGATTCTGAAGTATGGAGGCACAACTCTGATCCAGCTGGTAAGACCATACGGATCTAAGGATATCCTTAGGTAGGCCCATAGGCCCCAAGGCATATCCTTAGGTTGGTTTCCTTTGCTGTGTGCTTAAGGTAACCCTACGAATCTAAAGATACCCTTGGGTAGGCCCATAGGCCCCAAGGCATATCCTTAGGTTGGTTCCCTTTGCTAGGTGCTCATGGTAACCCTACGGATCTAAGGATACCCTTGGGTAGGCCCATAGGCCCCAAGGAATATCCTTAGGTTGGCTATCTTTTTGCTGTATGCTGAGGCTAAGCCCTACGGATGTAGTTATGGAGAACTGCATAATAGAGTTTGGTTGGAGGGTTCCACTATGGTTTTAAAATATTTATATCTTTTCACTGGTTTTGATTGGAACACACTAGACATCCTATTCGACCTCATGAAAATGTGATACTATGAATGCTTCCTATGAATTGTGATCTTCGTGGCTTCTACTCGATGAACTACTAATGGAACCCCGGATTATCTCGAAAATCGGTATACGTCTGATTCAATAAAGAAATTATACGGCTTACCATTTATCTGTATGTCCTGTAGCATCATCTGGTAGTTATGTATTACTGAGCTTTCCGAAGCTCACTCTATTACTCACCATTGCAGGTTAAAAGAATGGTACCAGTGCAGCTATCGACACCAATAAGGGAGTTCTTCCGACGTTGCTTGCAGAGTATGGTATATGTGATTAGGGGCATGTAGATTGTATTTTATTTTATATCTGATTCTGAAAACCTGTTCTATTTCTGAATATTAATAAATCATTTTATGATTTTACATGTTTTAATAAAAAGTTTTAAATTTTTTGCTATTTTTACGGTGGGTCGCTCTGGTGACCCTAATGTGACACTCCATATCGGATCGGTTATTCGCACCGGTATGAGGGGTTACAATGCATCATTGTATAAATAATGTAGATTTGATGTGTTAAAAATAATCTTATTAAATTTTAATAAAATATATTTTTTACATGATACTAACATTTTTAGTTAATTTTTTATTTGACATAATAGCTAATTTGACTATCAATGTTTAATCATTATCATTTTTAATCTTGATTCCAAAATTTTCAAGGTTAAATTTATTAATTAGTATTTTATAATTAAAACCAAATTGACATAATATATAAGTGTTAATGGTTAAATTTATTATGATGTCAATTATGAGTATATAAAATTGATGAAAGATATTATCGTCGTGACTTGTTCTCCTTAAATTGTTTATTTTTAAAATTGATATAGACTAAATTGCAAATCTTTTGTGAGGGACGGATTTTTTCAATTTTAAAAGTGAGAGTGACCTAATTACAGATGGTCATGGGTCAGGTCGGATTTTTGGCTCATCTGAACCCAATTTGATTATAGCACTCTTCCACATGTCATTTGACCAGACTCGGATCTAAAGAAACTTCACCTTACCCGAAGCTTGACTCAATTTTTAAGATAAAATCTCATACCCGATCATATATATATATATATTCTCATTTTTATTAGATAAAATAAGAATTTAAATAAAAAATATAGATAGAGAGGTATTATAACAATTATTTCTAAATATATAAAGATCAATTATACTATTATTTATAAGTTAGATCGAATATTTTTCACCTTAAATTCGAATCTGATTTGATATTATTTTTCAAAATACTCACCCTGATTTGATATGAATATTAATTTTAAAAAAATAATTTTATAATCAGATTAGATCAAATCAAAATTCGTCGGTTTCAAGTGAAATGTTGATACCTAAACCTAAGAGGATCTTTTATCATTCATTGTTGGTGTAATACACAATAAGTTTGACGCACTTTCACTACTTTTCATAGGCTTGATATTTTAAAAATCTAACTGTTTAATTAATTAACATAATTATAGGTTGAATTATATATATATAAACAAAAGCAAAGGAGAGAAATCATCGGCACTAGAAGCCTACATTATGACCCTTACCTAATAACCTAAAATTGTGTTTAAATAAATAAACAAATTCTAAAGTTTGTTGTTAATCTTATTGAATTGGATGACTAACGTTATTGATTGAGATTGGGACATGATCCATATTTGATATGTTTCAATTTGATTTTATAAAGTTATTCTCTTCAAAGATTTAAGTTTGGGTTGAATCTAGATTTTTGAAGCATAAGATTGAATCAGTTTAAAAAAATAAAAAAATTTGATGACTAAAAAGTATAATTATCTCTTATATATTTAAAGATAATATACTCTCTTTATATTTTTTAATTAATTCCCTATTTTACTTCATAAAAATAAATTATATATATATATCTTTGTGTCATATAAGATCATGTACGAATTTTTACCTAAATTCTGGTAAAATTTTAAATCAGATAAACTCTTCTTAAACTCAAATCAAATAACAGATAAAAAATAAAATACTTGAATCAAGTTCAAATAAATCAAAAAACCTGACTCGTGCCCATTCCTAATTGAGATGATGCTAAGCAATCCGAAAGTGTGGGAATATAGTAATTTTCTGGTAAAGGATAAAGACAGAAAACCATCCGGAAAACATGCATTACAATCTGCATGCTTTTCACTGCAAATCAGAAGCAAGCAAAATGATGATGGTAACCCCATCCAATTATGCAGAAACTCATGCTGTCCACTTTAATAAAGTTATTTACTTTATTAAGGTCAGAGAGATGCTCTCAAATCCAAAAACAAGCAAGGGGCCATCACTTTCTTCACCTAAAAAAACCCTTCAAGAAAGATCAAAATGTTTCATAAATCCAGCTTCAAAGACCCCATCTTTTTCCCAGAGAAAAAAATGGCTGCTGCTGGTTCAGCTCCTATTGCAATAGGCACAAGGGGAACCGTAGGATCGCTGCTCAAGAAGGAAATCGAGTACTTCGCCAAGCTCGAGTTAGAAGCACATGGCGGCGTTGGTGGTAGTAGTAGTAGTGGTAGGTCATGGAAATCACATGTACAAGTGGAAATGGATTGCTCGAATGGTCATTCGAGGTCCGGTTTCTGGTTCTCGATCGTCGGCTGGAAAAGGAAGAAACGAAGAGCAGGCAACGAGAACAACAACGGCGGGTTCTTACCGAGTATGTGTTCTGCAATCGAAGTTGCAGACATGAATAGATTTAACCTATGTTGCACTGATACGGATACGGGGACGGGGACAGGAAACGGCAATTTCTAAAATTACAGGGTACGGAAACGACAAGGATATGAAATATAAAATAATTTTAAAATTATAAATAGATGTAAAAAATTATAAATAAAGTCAAATATCAAGACTCAAATCACAATATTAAGTTTAGAATAATAAAATTCATAAACAAATCACAATATTAAAATATCAAGTCTTAAGATTCAAACCACAATATTAATTCTAGAATAATAAAATTCATAACCAAACATTCATAAATTTCAAGTGGTCCATAACTCTAAAAAGAAAATGATGTAAAATATTCATATTCATATAAAATTCTTTTCGGGTCAAGTTTTGGTGGTCCATAAATTTCACGTTTAGGAAAACATATTTTCCCTTCAATTTTATATTCAACCAAGTATCAACCGTCTGATTAAACAAATCATTAAAACAAAAACACTGACGTAACTAATATGTTAACAATATCTTCATCGATCAACTACACCAATAACTTTTATATATACAAAAAAATTGTCACAATCTGTGCTAATATGTTTTTATTTTATTTTAATTTATTAAATATTATTAATTAAAATAAATTCTAGTGCATATATAAAAATATTCTCTCCTATTTGTCCATATATGTAAATTACATATATCTCCACTACACCTGTAATTCCATTACATACATAAATAACATTATCTCTCAAGGAAAGAGCTCCCACCCAAGCCAAGAACAATTCCGACCATGGCAGAAGAATTTCATGCAGGGATTTGTGGAAGTAAAAGCATGGGACCTTGTAGGAAGGTACTAAAGATCCTGGAAGCAAACGCAACCAGTTTTCATGGATACTTCCGGTGTGTATCCTGGAAGCTCGTCTGCCCATCAACTTGTCATCTTCTTCCTCTTTATATGCCACTCTCTTTCTTTTCCACTCAATTCATCAATGGCTTCTCACGAAGAAACATACGCCTTGGAACTCATCAGGCAACACCTGCTCGCTGATTTTGCTTCCATGGAACCCCAGAAACCGTCATCTTCTCTGAGCCAACGCCGTCACAGCTTACCGATGTTGCACGGGGACGGCAGAGGAAGGGGTTTCAAGTACCCGAAACGTCCCCAACGAGCACCGAAACGTCCCCCGTATCGCCACCGTTGCACGTCCCCAGTACGTACCCCGGCCGTCCCGTACCGTCCCCGTGCCAAGGACGTTTCAGGTACTTGAAACGCCCTTCCTCTGCCGTCCCCGTGCAACATAGGGTTTAACAGGATCCCTGGTTTCAATTACAGGATCCTTAAAAACGATGTCCATAGCTTTCGTGTCTAGTCACCATCTTGTTGCTTGGAAGAGAAGAAAAGTATTTTTTATAATATGTAATCTGGATTTTTAGCTTTTTTTTTTTATATATACTTATTACAAGAATTCAAACATGGTTTTATTTATGTTTCTTCTGATTGTCTATACCATCTACAAAATCACAATCCATGGTTCTTTTTCCTGAGTTGCAAATCCCAGATTCGGATGAACAAAATCATTTAGTTTGAGAAGAAAAGAATGAAGTTCATATCAATGAATGAGCCTATTACAAAGAGCAAAATGAATGATGTCTGCAATTTTCCTATCGTCGAATCAACCGAAAGACGGCTTAGAAATGGTTACGGATTCGAATACACGAAACACAATTGCTACCGGAACCATTACAGCCCCTTAAATTGAATTAGCTAACTGACTGGCAGTAGTTTTCTAGACAAACATCATCCTAGTACTGTTATGAATGACTTGTAGATTTGATGATTCTGGCTCTGGTGTTAGTTGGTTTAGTCCGGCAGGTCGATACTATTGTTTATTTGCGATTCCACATCGATGTTTTCTTTGTCTTTTGGCCTGGCTAGGTACTCGATGGCGGATATGACATCCGCGATAAATGGTCGGGTCTCGGCATCCTCCTGTAGACACATTGCTGCAACCGCCAGAGCTTGACAAAGACCCTTTAAGGGGTAATTCCCTTCGAGCAGGGGATCGGCCATCGATGTGAGCTTCTTTTCTTTAAATAATGGCTCTGCCTGCAAGATTATGTATGATAAACCTAAACTCTAAAGCTATCTAAAGCATGCAAATGTCACAATTAGAACATACCCAAGCAACCAGATTCTGTTCTTCGACCGGTCTTTCGAGATCGATTGCTCTCCTCCCCGAGATTATCTCGAGAAGCACTACACCAAAACTGTATACATCGGATTTCGTTGTCAACTTCCCTGTCATGGCATACTCTGGAGCACAATAACCATAGGTCCCCATCACCCTTGTTGATACATGTTCCTTCCCTTCAGTTGGCCCCAACTTTGCAAGTCCGAAATCGGAGAGTTTCGGGTTAAAGCTCTCGTCTAGTAAGATATTCGACGCTTTAAAGTCACGAAAAATGATCGGCGGGTTGGCAAAGTCGTGTAGGTATTCTAGTCCCTTGGCTGCTCCTACAGCTATTTTCATCCTTGTATGCCAATCCAATGGGTGCTCACCAGGAGCTAAATCTGAACAAACAGATAACATTATCAGAATTCAAGTCCCTGATCGAAAAAACTGATTCCGGTGACATAATGAGAACTAAACAAGAGAAAACATAAGATGTAACATACCTAGTAGATGATTTTCCAAAGATCCATTTGGCATATATTCATAAACTAGAATTCTTTGATCCCCGTCTGCACAATATCCGATCAGGTTGACGAGATTCGGATGTTGAACCAGACTCAACATGAGAACTTCGGAGAAGAATTCTCTACTTCCTTGCATTCCATTTCTATCAAGCTGCTTCACAGCTACAACCTAAGGAAAAAAAAACAAGCATTGAACTTTTAGATTATGTAATAAATCCATCAAATGTCAGTTTCAGACAACAAATGGAGATGTTTATATACATGATCAATGGATTCAATGTATCCTTGGTAAACCCTGCCAAAACCACCTTCGCCGATCAGATAATCGGAATTGAAGTTGTCTGTTGCAACCAGCAGCTCCCGGAACGTGAAGATACGAGCCGAAACTTTTGCTTTTCCGATCTTTTGAATTTCTTCAGCTATTTTCTTGTTGCTGCCATCTGCACATTGATTCACATGGCTAAAATTATAAGTTTTCTAAGGCTAGTAGCATAAAAAGATATCTAGGTTTTCATTCAACTTATGTTACTCGAATTCGGGTGTGAGTATTCTATATCATATTTTCATATCCATGTCTAAATATGAGTCCGTTTTATGTTACTCGATATGTTTCGAATTCTAATGTGAGTATCCAATAGGGATATGATCAAAGGTCATTGGATGTTTATATTTGATACACATTCGAATATAAATCTTCGTATGTTATTCAATTTAGATGTAAATATCCGATACATTTATGATTAAGGATTATATCTCCGTGCTCATATAGTCATATTGTATCCACCATGCATGGACAAGTTTATATTTACCTGCTTCCGAATACTTTCAGAGAGGAATAAATGATTAACAGCAGGAGTTTAGCCCCAAGGAAACTACACACATGCATACATAAACATATGCATATACATACACATTATATCAAATGAACAAGATTCGTATTGCAGAAACGTTCTCTAAGAATCAAAACATGAAAACAAGAATACCTGTTTTGAGAGACAAAGTATTCATGAAAGACCTAAATGATTTCCCATTGTGGGCGACACCACCGCTAATATGTTTCTTCTTACGAGAAACACAGAGGTGATGTTCCTCAGCACCGCAACAAGACAACCAGCTCATCTCTTGTCTTCTTAAAATTTAACCCTTTTCCCAGAATTCTTGCCTTCAAAAAAACAATCCTTTCTTTTTAATGCAAGAACTCTATGGAAACCCTATGTTCCAAAAAAAGAAGTTGAAAACAAAGGAGAAAAGCGTAGTTTGAAATAAAAGATCCAGGGAAACAAATATAGATGAAACTGAAAATTCCCTGTTCATATATATCAATGGTGAAGCATTTTTAAAAATTTAATTTCTATTTATCAACCATTTATCAACTTGGTTAGTAATGTATCTGTTTCAGTTTGCTAAATTTAGTTGTTTTTCTTAGATAGATAAGATCTATTAAACATGAAATAATTTTAAATTTTTCCTAATATCTCATAATTTACTTATTTCAATAAGAAAAAATATGAGATTATTAACAGAAATATGGGTTTCAGAATATCCATTTACTATATATTTTTTTCTTTTTAATTTTTATTCATTGATATTGATTTTTTTATTATGAAAGAAGCTAAATTTTGTAAAGAGGATTAAATACATCTATATTAATAAGTGATAACTTCGCAAAAAGGTCGTATTTTGGAATCTTTTCACTTAAGTTATTAAATGTCTAAGATCTCATTTAGGACCATGTAGATGCATTTAGGAACATATATTTGCATGTGGTGAAATTCGTTTTGCCGCGGCATTTTATTTTGTCATCAATGATGCTTTATAGGAAAGATGTTTGTCTAATGATGTGCAGAAATTGAGAGCAAAGAAAAGAGAAAAGGAAATGCCATGACATTAGGAGACCGTTGAACAGAATGAAAATACCGAGTTGGATTGGCATTTCGAAAACGAGCAAAGTGCGAGAAGATATTTTAGAAGCCAATTGTCCTCCATTTTCACCAAGAGCGAGAAATCCACCTGGATTAACACTGCTCAAGCCATGCTGCACTATGCCGACCATGCTGCAAATGTCAGGTGCTCAGCCAACCACTCAGTATTGGCCATTTTCAGATGCCAATGATGGACCACTGCCTAATCCTCACGAGAATCAAGTAAAGTTGGGGGGAGTAATACTCTCAGTGAGTATAAAATCCATAACTCAAGAATATATAAAGAAACAAAAATGAGTAGCTTGTTACTCAAATCAAATTATCATTTTAAAACTTAATATAATTTTCCCTTTAATCTAGAAAACTATTTCCCCGTTCAAACCAAAACCCACCTTTATTAATGTAGAAACAACAACAACATGCTAAGTTGCATTAAACTTCTTTTTAACAATTTTAAGTTCAAATATGATAAACTTATACTTTAGGGTAAAGTATACAAATGATATTCCGATTATAAAATATTGTTTTATTGAGTCCTCTGACTATTAACATTTACAAAATAGTCTTCCGACTACGAGGTGTTGCTTTGTTGAGTCATTTGACTATTAAAAGTTATAAAATGATCATCTAATTATTCATTATATTCTAAACTCATTATTTTTTGTTAAAAAATTGTCAGCAATCTGAGCTAAACGTTAACATACTGAATGAGATATGATAAAATCTGATCTCATAATCTCAAACGACTATCATATCTTAGTCAGCATGTTAACGTTAAACTCAGATGACTGTTAATTTTTTAACAGAAAATGACGAGTTTAGAACATAATGAATAGTCAGGTGACCATTTTATAATTTTTAATAATTGGGGACTCAACAAAGCAACATCTTATCATCGGGGACCATTTGAATACTTTACCCTATTTTTAAATTTGGTTTGATCTTTCTAATAAGAGTATATAATACTCGTGATTTTATATAATGAAGTGAATTTATAGAATTTTAAAGAATGAACTTATAAAATTTAAAGTAAAAATAACTTATCAATAAAAAATATCTACAATATATGAAAAATATTTAAAAAAAAAAGAACAATCATTCCCGTCAACTATTTTAATTCATATCAATTCCTGATAGTATGAGTATAAATGTAAATGAATAGTATATAAATCTGTTTTAAGTCATTTGTTAAAAGATACCGACATTATTAAGGTGTTTGTTTCACTTTAAATACTTTTAATTATTTTATTTCTATTGGAACGACTATTATTGAGTTTGTTAGTTACTGTGGTTTATTTATTATTCACGTGTTGATTTTAATCTCATAATGTAGTATGATTGAAAGATTCATAGATTAATAATTTGAAAATTGAATTAAGACTTGAATTTAATTGTATTAACTCGAGGGATTTATCTACCATTTAGACGTATGCTTCAACTTAAGTGATGGATAGACTAAGTGAAATCTTAAAGGAGAGATGTAACTGAAAATTCCAACTCATTTCTTAACGATCACTTATACGAAGGATGAAACTCGTGGTGATAATTATTATGTAGATTCGTTAATCGAATGACATTTTAATCATTTCATTGCATTTTTTTCTTTTGAAAGTAAATATTTTATATTGTTTTAGTCGAAAATAACGTCAGTAAAAACAATGTTTGAGAACAAGTTAAGATAATATAAGCAAAATACAACAATGAAGCGCTAAAGGAAGTCTAATAAATTAGACATGTGCAACAACATTGACAATACAACGGATATACAAAATTTTTATGATAGCTTGAATAGACAAAAAAAAAAACAATGTGTCAAAAAAACTATCACCATTCGCTAGAACCGACAAAGAACTGCAGACCGTCATGCACATATGTCAAAGGAGGTAGTCCCCAAACAAGTAGTCAAAGACGCTTACCACTGTGCCAAGACAGACAAAAAAGACGGCACAACCAATGTGGAAAAGAATAACATGGATCACGGTCAAGCATACAAATCACCACATATTATCGTACAAACTCATATAACATACATGCGCCAATATTAATCAAAAGAACGACCCTAGAAATAAACTTAACATCAAACAAACAATTCTGCAAGTGTAACACCTCCATATCGATACGGGTGACCCGATCCGATCTGGAGTGTCACATTAGGGCCATCGGAGCGACTCACCGTAAAAATCTCGAAAAAAGTAACGTTTTTATTAAAACATGTAAAATCATAAAATCATTTACAAATACAAAAGTAAAATTTTCCAATATTCAGAAATAAAATAGATTTCCAGACTTAGATATAAAAACAAAATACAACCTACATGCCCCTTAATCACATGTACCGTACTCAGCAAGCAACGCCGAAAGGACTCCCTTACTGATATCGATAGATGCACTGGTACGATTCTTTTAACCTGAAAATGTGAGTAACAGAGTGAGCTTTGGAAAGCTCAGTAATACATTACTACCTTTTTCATGTTTTATGGAACATGTTGGTATTGGTAAATGCATGAATAAGAAAATGTTTGATCTCATCTGTATAGTTAGGTAATTCCTACACTCGATACAAATGCAGTAAAAAGTCAGTAACTGAATAAAATTCTGATGGCTTGTACAATAAATTAGAAGTTTGATAAGGAATATTTTCAAGTTAAAGAGATTATTTGGAAAAGCATTTAACTCTAGGATCTCTAAATTATATTTATCCTTGTTAAGAGTTTTAATATCAAAGTTACTTGGTTAAGGAATTACGAAAATGCTATTAAGAGGTAAAAATAGTCCGAGTTGATATTGAATGAGAAAGTACCATGAGAATTCGTACATAACCCGATAAATTACTGATTTAATTGTTAAGATCCTACTTTGGTATAGAAAATTTCTAATAATCCGTTAGTAACAATTGAGAAGACAATTGACCAGAAAATCTCTGAGTTAATAATAAATACATGAAGAATAATTTATCGAGGGTGTTCTTTTGTCAGAATTGTTCGAAAGGACTGAAATAGATGATAAGTTTGAATTAATTAATAAGATCAGACGGAAGGAAAAGATTGAAATATCTTTTATCTATAAAATGACCAAAATACCCCTGGAATACAAATGACCCAATAATATCACTAAGCCCATGAATGATTGAATATCGTGGAAGGACAGTGAATTGATCAGTCGACAAGTATCAATTTTGGAAGTTGTTCAGCTCGAGTTGTTCGATAATCCGATCGATCGACATGGATGGTAAATGTCCTGAATCTTCGTTCTCCCTTATCAGCTCAAATCAATCTGGTCATATCTGAAAAACAAGTAACTCATATATAAAGGATTCTGAAAAGCTTTCTTATTATTTTGTGCCTCCAAAAAAAAAGTTCGAATACAATATGATCCTGATAAATCATATCCTGAATAATTGATGATGCCGTCAGCTAATAAACTCTTCCGATAGTGATTCTAACTTCCAGTATTCTATCGATATATTGAAGATTAGTGTTTATGTACTCAATAAGATTAACCAGTATCTCCGAACCATATCTGAAACCTCTAGTGTGTTCCCTGATCACATGGATATTTTCTTTGATTTCTACTCTGTCACTAAGTGTAACATCCGCATCTGTCTGGGGTGTTACATTTAGATCAAGGATTACCATTAAAATGACCAAAAACATAAGCTTGTATCATATCCCAAAAATTTGATCGAAAAACAACGATAACTATAACTCCTATTATAGGGGCAGGGATCGAGAAAATAAATAATATCCATATAAAATCTTCGTCTCCCTTAAAATACAAGAGGAGTGATTATTTATTTATAATAAGATTTTAAAAAAGTAGTAAGATAGTCGCTGGTTAAGACCAAACGACCACCCGAAGGACGGAAATAAAGAGTGTAGCAAAGTAGTTCAACAATGGCAAAATACTATAAGCAAGTTTTGCAGAGCAGTTTTTGGGGAGTTATTTTGAGGGAGTTTCATTTCATTGCATTTAAATATTCATTTATTTATTATTATTCATATCTATTTATTTTATATATCTATCTTTAATGAAAAAGAGAGTATATTAAAAAAATTATTAAATTGGACCAATATTGATATCATAAACTCGATTGATCGATTGAAAAAAAAACTTAATAATTCGACTTGACTGAAATTTCATAAACTCAATATATTCTTTTAAATAATTTATAAATCATAAAATAAGACTTGTTAACTTACTAACTCATTCTTTTTTATTTTACTTGATTTGATTGGATACTCATCCTTATATCATATCAGCGCATATTCAAAAAAAAAAAAATAAGACACGTGTTCGATTATTTTAAGAATAATAAAAAATATTTCAAGATAAATAGAGAATAAAAAAATATCAAATTATAATAAAGGGACTAAATAAAAAAATGGATAGTACAATAACTTTTTAATAGAATTTGATCTATTCCCAGAATAGTAGTATTTGTTAAACCCTTGCAAAACCTACGAAAACTCAAACCATGACAATCATAAGTTTTCCAAAGAACCACCTATTTTCTCTGTCTTGTCTTACCATTCGAAAAAGTAAAATATTAAAATTATATTTACAGCAATATATTTATATATAATAAAATATTATTATTATAAAAATAAAAAAATTAAAAAAAATTAAAATTCTAATAAAATAAAGCCCTTGTCCACTAAGATTTCAAATTCTAACTAGAACTCAAATTAATAATATATTACTATAAAATTATTCATTTAAATTTATTTTATTAATAGTATATTGTATAATTATACATTATAAATACATTGTATAATCGCTCATTCTTTAACTACCTCATCAGCCTTTCAAAGTCTAAAACAACTCTTGATTTTCGATCTTTGAAATTTGAAACTATGAACCGTAGAGCCACCGTTCATCCATCTCCATCGATCACCGCCGATCAACTATGTATCCTTCCACCAACCATCGTAAACCTTGCCTCTGCACTTTCCCTAGAGGAAAAACAAGTCTTGGACTATCTCATCTCTCGAACTTATCAAGCCACCGTAAGAACAACACCTCCAAAATACAAGCTAAAAGAAGCTTCGGCAGCGACAACGACCATGATCATCCCCCTCTTTTCACCTACGATTGTTTCAGGTGCTATATGAGTTACTGGGCCAAATGAGACTCATCACCCAACTGACAACTGATACACAATATTATTGATGTTTTTGAAGACGAGGTGGCTAGAAGCAAGAAAGAGAGCAAGAGGGAATTTGAAGTTATGAAGAAACTCTACTGTAGAGCCACCGTTCATCTTTCTCCATTGATCACCCTCGATCATCTGTGTATCCTTCCACCAACCATCGAAACCCTTGTCGCTGCATTTTCCCGGAGGAAAAACAAGTCTTGGTTTATTTCATCTCTCGCTCCATCAACGATTTCGACATCTTCTCTGGTCAACGTAAGAACAACACCCAAAAAATACAAAGAAGCTTCGACAGTGACCAAAATCATCCTCCGCTTTTGACCTGAGATTGTTTCAGGTGCTATATGAGTTACTGGGCCAAGTGGGATTCATCCCCCAACCGGAAAATGATACACGAGATTATTGATGTTTTTAAAGACATGGTGGCTCGAAGCAAGAAGACTGAGAGGAAAAGGAGGAGGAAAGACAATTCTGCTCATAATAGGTCTGTTGGGTTGAAGGAACCCGAGGAAGATTCTGGTGAGTTGAATACGGTTGAACCGAGCAACGGAAGCGGCGATGGAGGCACCGTTCATCAATCTCCAACGATCAACGTCGGTCAACTGTGTATCCTTCCACCAACCATCGTAACCCTTGCCAAGCCCCCGTAAGAACAACACCCCAAAAATACAAGCTAAAAAAAGCTTTGGCCTTGGCCCAGTAGCGACCGCGATCATTCCCCTCTCATCACATACGATTGTTTCAGTTGCTATATGAGTTACTGGGGCAAGTGGGACTCATCACCCAACCGACAGTTGATACACGAGATTATTGATGTTTTTGAAGACGAGTTGGCTCGAAGCAAGAAAACCAAGAGCAAGAGCAAGAAAGAGAAGAAGACGAAAGCTGGTTCTGCTGATAATAGTTCTGTTGATTTGAACTCATCCTTCCACCAACCATTGTAATCCTTGCTGTTGCACTTTCCCCTGAGGAAAAACAAGTCTTGACCTATCTCATCTCTCGGTCTAGCAACGATTTCGACAACTTCTCAAGCCACCGTAAGAACAACACTCCAAAAATACAAGCTAAAAGAAGCTTCGGCCACGGCAGTGATAACGATCATCCTCCTCTTTTCACCTGTGATTGTTTCAATTGCTATATGAGTTACTGGGGCAAGTGTGACTCATCACCTAACAGACAGCTGATACACGAGATTATTGATGCTTTTGAAGACGAGTTGGCTCGAAGCAAGAAAACCAATAGCAAGAAAGAGAGGAAGACGAAAGGTGGTTATGATGATAGTTCTGTTGATTTAAACTCTATCCTTCCACCAACCATTGTAACCCTTTCCGTTGCACTTTCCCTTGAGGAAAAACAAGTCTTGGCCTATCTCATCTCTCGGTCCATCAATGATTTCGACAACTTATCAAGCCACCGTAAGAACAACACCCCAAAAATACCAACTAAAAGAAGCTTCGGCCACGACAGCGATAATGATCATCCTCCTCTTTTCACCTGCGATTGTTTCAATTGCTATATGAGTTACTGGGGCAAATAGAACTCATCGCCTAACAGACAGCTGATACACGAAATTATTGATGCTTTTGAAGACGAGTTGGCTCGAAGCAAGAAAGAGAGGAAGACAAAAGGTGGTTCGGATAATAATTCTGTTGATTTGAACTATATCCTTCCACCAACCATTGTAACCCTTGTCGCTGCACTTTCCCCTGAGGAAAAATAAGTCTTGGCCTATCTCATCTCTCGGTCCATCAACGATTTTGACAACTTCTCAAACAGGGTCGGTTCGGACGAAATAATAATTTTATGCCCCTACAAGGCTACAAATATCACCTAAAACGATTCATTCGTGTATTTTTTGAAGCAAAAACCTCTATTATTTTACGATAATCAAGACTTTGCAAAAACCTACAATGAGAAACGTTCACCACTCCGCTGCTATCCTTATCGAGCAGTGAAATTTTAAAGCATATAGTAAAAAAATTCCCTTTAATATTGTCACATGAATGCAACTTCGTTTAATTCGGTACTTATTTAACCTATTTGATCCAATAAGCCAAATACAATTACCCAGTTAAACCAAGTAGTCAAATAAAAGGGCCAATTTGAACCTAAATTTTGGTATGGAGAGCAGTGAAAGGCTGGTTTACGCCCCGACATCTACAGATATTCCCTAGTACAAATGTACAATACTCAATTTCACAGTGTTAAAGGGGATACGAAAAGGAACAATGGTGTAATCTCAAATTCAAAAATAGAGAAAGCTATAGTGGTACATGCATTTCGAAAAATTCTTCTTCGATTTCTTTATTTTCTAGTTTGTTTTTTTCGTTTTTTGTGTGTGTATGCGATTGTTATTTAAAACCTAAATTTGAGAGGGATTGGGGGATTTACCTGGGCAGTTTGAACGCAAAAAGGGTCTTGTTGGTTCCATCCATACTATGTACGGATTTTGTTGTGGATGAGAAAAAGCTTTATAAAATTTTTGAAACAAAACTAAGTCTAAAGAATAAAAAACAGGGAGAGGGGATCAGTTCAAGTGAAAAACAAAAAATGAAGCAAAAAGAAAAGAGATAACTTACCTTGGCCGAGCGTCGGGGATATTGTCGGGAGTGAAGGTATGATCGGTCAGGTTTATTTTAGGAACGGCTTTGGGTTTGATCCATTGTCGTGCATGGTGGTCAAGATGTGGAGCTTCACCGATCTACGGTTAGCAAATGGAGTTCATGGGTTTGGGGTTTATTCAGTCGAGAAGATGAGAGGTTAGGAGAATCGTTTCGAGCGGTTTAGGTTGATTAGGGAGTCGTTTGGCCCCTCGGGCTGTCGTTGGCAGTGAACGGAGTGAGGAGTGGCCACTAAAATATGGTGGCCGATCGAATTTTATCTGGCTTGAGGAGCCATTGCTTTCGGCCATGCGAGGGTGAGGAAGAGAAGAAGGGCGAGCAGAGCGGCGCTGGAATAGGTTGAGTGTGGCAGAAATTAGGTTTTGTTAATTTAAGGTGTTATTTAACTTTAATAAAACAATGTCGTTTAATAGGGGTCCAGGGTATTTCGTTGTCGGACGAATGGGTTTATTGTTGAGGGAGTCATGCTTATTTTTAAATTAATACATTTTGGTCCCCGAGTCAAAACATGCATATTTATTATTTAGCCTTTGTATTTCACAAATGTTTTATTATAACCCCAGCAGTCTGATGCCCCCTCGAACATATTGTCCTGGGCTAAGGCCCATCTGAAACATGTATTAGGCCAGCCCTGTTCTCAAGCAACCGTAAGAACAACACCCCAAAAATACCAGCTAAAAAAAGCTTCGGCCACAGCAGCGATAAAGATCATCCTCCTCTTTTCACCTGCGATTGTTTCAATTGATATATGAGTTACTGGGGAAAGTGGGACTCATCACCTAACAGACATCTGATACACGAGATTATTGGTGCTTTTGAAGACGAGTTGGCTCGAAGCAAGAAAACCGAGACCAAGAGCAAGAAAGAGAGGAAGACGAAAGGTGGTTCTGCTGATAATAGTTATGTTGATTTGAACTCTATCCTTCCACCAACTATTGTAATCCTTGCTGCTGCACTTTCCTCGGAGGAAAAACAAGTCTTGGCCTATCTATTCTCTTGCTCCATCAACGATTTCGACAACTTATCAAGTCACCGTAAGAACAAAACCCCAAAAATACAAGCTAAAAGCGACAGCGGCTGTGATCATCCCCCGTTTATCATCTGCTATTATTTCAGTTGCTATATGAGTTTTTGGAGCAAGTGGGACTCATCGCCCAACCGGCAGCTGATGCACGACATTATTGATGCTTTTGACTACAAGGTGGCTCGACTCGAAGCAAGAAGACCAAGAGTAAGATATGGAGGAAGATCAGGAAAGGTGGTTATGCTGATGATAACTCTGTTGGTTTGAAGGAAACCAAGGAAGATTCTGGTGAGTTGAATACGGTTGAACCGAGAAACGGCAGAGGCGGTGGTTGTGGAGATGGTGGTGAAGAAGGGACTGAGAAAGGGCCAGTAAGGAGGTTGGTGTACTTCATTGGAAAGAATATTTCGAACGTTTTGGGGTAATGAATGTTGACGATGATAGAGGGAAAGAGATGTAGTTTTAAGGTTTTTCCCTCCCACAATGTCAGGTTGATAGTTTTTAATCTTAAAATCATCGTGTTTTTGTTTGTTCTTTGAAGCAAATCTTTTGATTGAACATTCTCTTGTTTCCGATTCAATTTTATGTTAATATTTAAACTTGTGATATTAAATTTAGTTTTCTTCATTTATAAGATTAATATTCAAGCTTTAGTTTTCTCTACGTATAACAATAATATTGCAACTCTTAATTTTATTTAAAAGAATTTAACATGCCATCTAATTATATTATTGATGAAGTAAAATATATTTTAATCAATGTTTTGGATAATAATCTTGTGGATAAAAATACACTAATAAAATAATTTTATATTTTTTAGAAGTTTGATCAGGTAAAACCTTAAATTAAATGATTGTGTTTAAAAATTTGATTTGATTTTAATTTTAATTTTAATTTTAATATAATTATTGAATATCGAATCCGATAGGAAATATTAATTATATAATTTATGAATGAACTCTTTGTAAGTCTCATTTAAAAATATTTGTCAAGTGAGATGAAATTATTAAGGTGTTAATTTTATTTTAAATATAATTTTTTATTAAATAAATATGTATTACGTATGATTTTTTAGATTAAAATCCATACAAAGTAAGATAACAAGAATATTATTGACCACTCAGTTAATAAATATATTTTAAATATTTTTAATATTTTTGGATTGTTTTACTTCTACTGGAGTTAATATTGACTTCTTTAGGGATTTATTTACCGATTAGACGTATGTTTTAACCTAAATGATAAATAGACTGATGGGAATTTTAAGGGAGAGAAGTTAAAAACTCAAAGTCATTTTCCTAATGATCATTTGTATGATTCATAATAGGGAAAAGTTTGATTAAGATTATGTGAAGTCGTTAATTAAATTGGATTAGTAGCACTCTCGTACTGAGACAGACAAAGATGGACCTAAAGGGAAATAGAGATGGACCTAGAGGGGGCAGATAGGAGCGATCGCCCCCTAAAATTTTTAAATTTTGTATATTTTAGATTTTTTTGTATTTTCTATTGAAAATATGTTTTCGCCTCCTAAAATTTTATAAGTTCATCCATACTTGAAATTTTATAAATTCGTCATTTCTAATATGAAATCATGCGTCCGTCCCTAGATATAGATGACTCGATCTAATTTGATATGTCACATTAATTTCATTGAATCGACTCACAATAAAAATTCAAAAAACATAAAATTTTGTCAGACTATTTAAAACCATAAAATAATTTTTAAATAAAAATAATATAAATTCAAAAAATCGTTCAAATATCAAAACAAAATTCAATAGTACATCATATAAAAACGAATTTAAGACTCTAATATAAAAATGATATATGACTTATATGCCCCCTAATTATATGTGTCGTACTCTACAAGCAGCACCACTGGAACTCTCATTACTAATGTCTAAATGCAAAAAATCAATTCTTTAATCTGAAATGGTATATAATTGAGTGAACTTTAAGAAAACTTAGTAATACAAAACTATCAAATGATGCTAAAGGGCAAACAGACATATGGTAAAGCATGAAATTCCTTAGTGATCTAGACATCTACATGTTCTAGTGAAGAGTTGAAATTTTATTAATTGATCCTCAAGGTAACAACTGGAAAGTTTATAGATTAGAAGAGTCAGACAGAAATAGATTACAGATACGAGTTAGAGAGCCTAGTGTGTTCTATTAGTGTAGAAAAAAGCGTACATACAATTTCAAACATTAATAATTTATTTCAGTAAAACAAATTTTTAAAACAAAGGTAAAGTTTAGTTTAAAAATCAGCTAACTCTTATTTATTAATTAATTATCTGAACAGTTCTTCCCTTTGTGTAACATAGAGAAGTTATCAACCTTCTAAGTTAATCTTGATGGAGAAGAAACCTTCACTAGTTGATTTTTCACAGTATTTGCAGTCCGGGTTTGAGATACAACTAACAAATTGATAAGTAAAATTACAACAATTACAAAAAAAATCAAACACTTCTTCCAATAATGCCCACAAGAAACAAGAACAATATTTTGGGAACATGCATTGGCATAAGGTATTCAAAGAGTAAACCCCTCAAAATAATTATTTTCGAGGAAAAGAGAACCTTCCATGGACTTATCATTGTCAATCAAATCATAGAGTGGCACAAGCATTTCCTCACCTTCTTGTTGTTGGTCTAACCCGATCCGATCAGAATATATCAATATTTTAAATAATTAAAATAATATATTTATAATAATTTCTTATATTTTAAAATATTAAAATAATGTATTTTATAACAATTTATTATATTTTTAATAATTAAATAATATCTTTTAAAACTATAAAAATAAAAATCTTATACATAGTGGAATCAAAATCATAGTAATCACCACTAATAACAAGATACAAAATTCCCTTTTGCTTTGGTTTGGTTCAAAGGCCATACCAACCATGAAATCTTATAGTATACTACGACTAATCTTTCAAATAATTGATACTATATTCGGTATAGAGATATTATTTTTCTTTTGCTTTGAGGAAAACAATTGGATGAAGAAAATACAATTCAACCAGAGATGTATGTCTCGGTCTAGAGGAAATTTATAGAACAAACCTAATTAATGTATGGCTCCATTTGATGCAATAATTCATAGCCCTACATAAATAACTAAAGTTCATCATGAGCAATGCATCCAGCAAGTGATAGAAACAATGAGAAAGAAATTGAGAAATTCTGCTATGTGATAACCTGTTTGAAGTATTGAAGATGTGCATCCATAGTCTCACTGACAGCTTCCAAAAACTCAAATCGCTGTTTTGGCTTCAACAATTGAACGAGCAGTTACTTGTAATTGTAAACCACAGTCACGCAATTACATATCTTGAACCAAATTTGAATTATCAGCAACATCAATTTAGAAATTATTTGTTTACCAATTCACTCACTAGATTAAAACGAGCCTGTTCAAATGCTGACCTCGCATTACGAAGTTCCTAGAATAACTCCAACCATGTCAATGTATGTAAGAAATATCCATCAACACGATATCTACATAGCTAAGAATGCCAGATACATGAAATTATAAACCAAATCAAGCCATTTTGCACGATACCTCTTCCAAAACATTAACAATATTACTCTTCATACTTTTCCTTAGTGAAAGAAACTTTTCACGAGCCAGCCAGATCATACAAAGATAAACAATATAATTATGAAATTGATTTTAGGCCAACTCAAAAAATATAATATCAAATTCAAGCAATGTAACCGACAAAAATAATTTAAATTCTAAAGTACCTGGTCATAAATGAGACTAGCCTTGTCAAAACGTTTGTGTGCTTTCTGCACTCATAGAAGATATTTTAAAACAAAAGGCTAAACAAATAAAAACATATATGATCCATATTAATACACAAATTATTATGAGTTGGATGAATCTATAGCAGAGCAATAAATAAATAAATAACCAATGTTTCTCTTAATAAGATTGTTTCGCATAGTAAAAGTTAATAAGGTGCCCCGTCTTTCAGCTAGTTCCAGATCCTCCCGACTTTATAGGGTAGCTTAAATCTTATTTGTAAGACATAGTGGAACAATATAATTATGTATTTGATTTTAGGCCAACTAAAAAGCTATAATATCAAATTCAAGCAATGCAAATAAAGCAAGCAAACAAACTACACTGGCAAAACAAATTTAACTTCTAAAGTACCTAGTCATAAATGAAACTAGCCTTGTCAAAACGTTTACATGCTTTCTGCACTCATAGAAGATATTTTAAAACAAAAGGCTAAACAAATAAAACAGATATGATCCAGATTAACACACAGATTATTAGAAGTTGGATGAATCTATATAAATAAATAAATAACCAATTTTCTCTTAATAAGACTGTTTCGCATAGTAAAAGTTTTCAGCTAGTTCAAGATCCTCCCAACTTTATAGGGTAGCTTAAATCTCATTTGCAAGACAGGTAGTTACCTTGTCCTCAAGTAAATCAATACTGAAAGTAATTTGTCATTTAACTCGGTTTCAACCTGGAGAGACGAGAAAACAATTCATAACTTCTAATATTATTGATTGTCATCAGGATTGGACAATAAACTGCATATAGTGTCAAAGTTCAATATAGTTATAACATTTACATTCTCACAATGTGTAGAAGTTTTAAAAATTGACATGAGGACAATTATAAAAAACTTAGTGCATTGCGATTTTAAATATACATGAAGAAAACAACCAACAAAAGATTATTTACTACTGAAACTTCTAAAAGATTATCATTTTCTTTCAGTAAGAATTCTGACAAAAGCAGTAGGAGAATCTGCCCTAAAGAAGGGGGAAAAGGTTCAATTACAGCTATAGTACCGTACCAAAATATAATCTGCATGTGATGGCAGAACAAAAGAACAAAATGAGAAAACAAGAAAAAAAAATGAAGCCAATACCACTGAAGACTGACGGTCTCTTCAAGGTACATATGTACCCACAAATGTTCAAAAAAGTGCAACATTAGGAGAGTATTGAGGGTTTTCAGTGTTATGTCTGGACTGCATTTAAATCTGACTAAGAGTTCGTTATTTGGGGTTAATATATAAGTTGACATAATTAAAGATTGGGCTATGAAAGCGAGCTGTGGAGTGGGATCGTTTCCAATGTCTTATCTAGGTTTACCAATTGGCACTAGGAAAAAATCAGAGGGGACGTGGGATCCTGTTTTTCAGAATTTTAATAAGAAACTAGCAGGTTGGAAAGCTAAATCGTTGTCGTTGGCGGGTAGACTGGTTATGGTTAAATCTGTATTATCATCCTTGCTGATCTTTTTTCTCTCTATTTTCAAGATTCCTCTCAAAGTGACTCAGAAGTTGAATTCTTTGATGGCTAACTTCCTTTGGGGTGAAGACCATGATAAGAAACGAATTCACTGGGTTAATCGGAAATCGGTCTGTCAACCTTTC